CAACAGAAAGAGTCAACCACTTGTAGTTGGTCACTGTTTTTCCTGCTACGTGAATCTTCTGTGTAGTAGGTCCTGACTCGGGAGGACTTCTCCTTGTAGGCCTCGAGCAGTGAGTCCAGGGTTAGTACCGATACCGAGATCGTAGACCCTACTGACACTCAAGTTTTGAACTTGCTTTGTTAGTGACGTCTAACTAAGCATTGTGAGTATGCTATAGTGTAGGAGTGTAGAAGTATCCTTCACGATTTTGTTTATCTACGGACTCTACAATTGTGGAAGGGACGTAGTACCAGACTACGTCTCGACTGTGCTTCTGTCGCAGCGAACCTGACATTCGGTTGGGTCACTTATTTCCTTACAGTCACTACTAGGTCGACTTCGGATGTCCTTACACTCTGGAGCGTCCAAAACAAGGTGATGTACTGACGGACGAAACACAACACTGGTAGTCGAAGTCACCTTTTTTGGGTGAGTTACCGTAGAGTGCATTCGTTTACGTCACCAGAAGTAAGTATGTATTTCACTCCCACCGACCACAAGACGAATTGTGTCACGAACCGACGACAGACTTATGTCGAAAATTTTCTTTTCCAGTTTATCTATGTTTTATATATGATGCTACACAACAAGCTGCGCGGCCCCAATTCAGTCACCAATCGTGATAACCTCGTAATGAGGGCCTCATTAGCGTGTCGTGAAACGTTTACGATAGGGTCACGTTCTTCCTCCGACAGTTTGTAATTACCGTGTGTGCTCCGAAACACGAGGTGGAGAATCGCCAGCGAAACGATGTTGTTCGAATAAATCAAAGTAATGTAAATTTCTTCCGTCTGTTAAAGGATGCACGACTATAGAGGGATTAATTTTAAAATTCTACATATACAAACATTCAGAGTTAAACAAATAGACCCCTGAGAGTTACATCCCTGCACTCTTTTTGATGCAGATCTGACACAAGAAAAGCGAGCTTCCTGTCAGCCACCAGTGAGAAGGAACTCTCAGTGAGAAGGAATCTACCAGGAATGTGTACTCGCAGGTTTTTCACTACATGACCCTGCTTTGTGTTGTGACATCAGCTCAGTGGAAAAACCCACTCAATGGCATCCTCACTAAGCAAATGCAGTGGTCTCATTCAAATAAATGAGGGGGCTGTGTTTGCTTAACATAGTGCTGCTGCCTGTCTGAATACAGCTTTAAAAGAAAAGTCAAATAGATTACAAAATATATATAGATTGTTTTGGCGGGGGTTAATCAGTGTTAGAAATATTGGACATTACTCCGGATAATCCACAGCAACTTGCAAATGTATCCCCATGCAGAAGGGAGCCTGTACTTATGGACAGAGGCTTGTGCTCACCCCTTAGCGGTCGCTTTGTTACAACAAGCTTATTTAGTTTCATTACATTTTAAAGAAGGCAGACATTTCTACGGCTGATATCTCCAACACGAGGCAACTCAAAGTTTAGGATTAACATTTCCTAAAAATGATGGGGTCTTATTGTCTCAACGCTCCCTTCAACACAGTACTGTAGCAGCCACTGTAAGGCAACCCTTACTTTGTCCATGCTGAACAGAGCCTGGTACTGGGGCACCACAGCGTTGCGTGGCTCCGTCAGGATTCGGACTAGCGTCTCTTGGTCCAGGCTGTGCAGAGGGACGACCACAGGAAGACGCCCCACAAACTCTGGGATCATCCCGAAATCGATCAGGTCTCTGGCCTCCACGACCTTCAGCAGCCGGTCCTTCTCCTCGATCTCCAGCAGGGTGTCCGTCTCTCCGCTGGTGTTGGCCTGGTCTGCGGCGGCCGCTGCACGGCGGCCCTGCCCCATGTTGGAGGGAGTTCCAAAACCCAAATACTGGGGAGTAATGAAACAAGAGGAACACGTTAAGAGTGAGCTATGTGAGCTGACTATCTGAGGACACAAATAAGTCATATTAAAAACATACCTTTTCATTCTTTCTTCTGCTGATGATTCTGTCGAGTCCGTTGAAAGCACCGGATGCCACAAACAGGATGTTCGTTGTGTCGACCTGCACCGTCTCTCCTCTCAGCTTCCTGGAGTTCTTCTCAGGAACATTGACGATGGTGCCCTCCAACAGTTTGAGCAACCCCTGGGAGAGAGGAAAAGAAAACAACCATCAATATTTAACAACAAAGCATCAGGATATTTAACAACAAAGCATCAGGATACTCGTAACAGTAAATAAATCCAAAGTGCTGCCGTATTTATAAATCAAAACTGTGTCTATAAAGGAATGCGTTAAATCGGGTTGAATACTTGAATACCTGCTGGACTCCCTCTCCTCCTACATCTCTCAGCTGATGGATTCCAGGCACACTGCCAATCTTATCCACCTCATCCAGAAACACAATACCTGCACATGAAACACAGCATTAGTTTCACATCGAGCCACTGCATGACGACAGCCCCAGTCTTAACTCCACTGTCTGCAGACACTTAAACACTCTCAACGTCATATTAGTAATATCACATAACATGAGGCACTTTCAATCATGCTAAAAAGGTCCAAATGATCCAACCACTGCAAAGTAAAGGAAGTCAATATCAGTTTCATTTTTGACACGGGTGAGTCACAGCTGCGGGGAGAAACCCTTGTAAAAATGAAACTGATGTTTATTTTTGTTCATCCAAGTGTTTTGTTTTGATTCCTTCCTCTCCATGCTAGCACTTACGATCAGTTCAAGCCACTTATACAATACCCCTGTAAGGAATTGACATTGTGACCTAAATATGCACAATGAAACAGTTTGGAGGAATAATGCAGTTACTGCTGTAGAAGTAAACATTATTTGAACAAGGCTTAAGTCTCCCAGAGTTTAGATTTAACAAGATTGTTATGGCATTGCTTTATAGACTTGAATCTGTAACAATTTAACATTTATAAGCTGTTAAAAGATCCGTGTATATATATATATGAGAGAGTGCAATGAAAACAAAGGTGGTTCTGTTTTAAACTGTATGACGGCTAATGGAGGACAGAGGTCCCAGTGTCATGTTTATATTGACGAGACTCTTTCGCCTTGTATAAACATCTGCACTGTTTTGGTTTCCTGCTAACTTTCTCTTTTTAACACGGCTAACAAAACCAACTGCACATGCCTTTAGATTTGAATATGGAGTACTGTGTGTGTGCCGATTCAGAATGCCCATATGACATGTGTCCTATCAGAGGAGATTTGTCCACCTTTGAATGCATGTTATTCTAAAGTCACCTTGCTGTGCTTTCTCCACTGAATAGTTGGCATCTTGCAGCAGTTTGGCAATAACTGACTCGATGTCCTCTCCCACGTATCCAGCTTGAGTTAGTGTGGTGCAATCGCATATGGCAAAAGGAACATCCAGACAACGTGCCAGGGTCTGCGCCAACAATGTCTTTCCTGGGGAAAAAAACACAGAACAAACATTAGTACAAACTATTTTTGAAACACACTTATGTTAAGAGGTACACTGAATATGAAAGTGTTTAAAACTAATGATGAAGCATACCTTAGTGCTGCATTTACAGTATTAATTATAACAACAGTTCCTAAGAGCGGTGATTCTTTTCCAAAATAATGCTTTTTAAATACACGGTGAAATCCATTAAATGTACTTTTTCATTCCACAAAATGAACCATACTTTGATGAAAAAATGGACCAGATGTTTTACACAATAAGAATATGAAGATCTTCCGGCTGTCTGGTTTGGTTGGGGATTGTTATCAAACTGATATGAAACAATATCATGTAGGATATAGTGGACACTGACCTGAGCCAGTGGGACCTAGAAGTATGATGTTGCTCTTCTCCAGTTTGATGTCGGTGTGTGTGGAGTCCAGCACCTCCCCGCCTCTCTTCTCCTGAGGCGCCTGCTGGCTGGCCTGCTGCTGCATGGACGCCCCGAGAGCGTTTCCATGAGGACTGATGCCGGCAATCTGCAGCAGCTCTGCAACACAAAGCAAAGACACAGGGGTCAGCTGAGAGGATATGAGACATGACTGTAAAGATGTTGTCTTCGGTTTCAACTTCTGCACAATTTAAACAGGCCATCCATTTTAAGTAGGGATGCTCTGATCGCCAATTTTGGGGCCGATCGCTGGAATCAGTATCGGCCGATACCGATCCAATCGAGTGGGCGGGGCCTAGGGCTGTGCGATTATGGCAAAAATCATAATCACGATTATTTTGGTCAATAATTGATATCACGATTATTAAATACGATTATTCATTAACTTTGAAAACATCCATTTATTGAACTTTAAAACAAATAAAAATAATAATTTCAACAGTATGTTTTTAACTGCTGATTACCCTGAACGAATAATTCAACTGAATAACAAATACAAAAATAAATTATACATAAAAATAGCTAAGTGTGTAAGGTCTAACTCTTAGTGTGTGTCTTGCTCCGCTCAGCGGTCCGTCACAGCGGGCGGAGCTGCAGGATTTCTGCTTCACAAACACACCGCTATTTTATTGTCTTTTTCGGACACCTTAAAATACTGCCAGACCGGTGAAGCCATTTTGGCGAGCTTGTTTTGCCGCGCAGAGAAAAGTTTTATGTATTTTACGTCATGCGATCGGCATTTTTAGAGAGCACCGATCGATCGGTGGAGAGTGAATATCGGACGATATCGATCGGCGGTCGATCGATCGGAGCATCCCTAATCTTAAGGATGTTTGTGTCAAACTGTGCATTGAAACATTGCCATGTGCAGTCTCAACATATACATGGCCTAGTCAGTGTGGAGTTAGTAGGTGAGGAGAGCAGGGCTGGAAATAGAGAAGGTACAGATGTGAATGCAGGTCACCGGGTTACCTCATTGTCCGGTAAATCAGAGATGAACAGGCTTAAATCATTTTGCTTCAGTTCTGAAAATCATAGTTCAATCAGTCGTCACTACTCTGAAACTAGAGATGTTCCCAAAAAGTATATTAAGTGATTCATTTGCTGTAATAATGTATAGCTTCTAATCTGATTCTTTATGTTTTGTATAAACTTACAATAACGTTCCAAGAATTTCTACCCGAATTAAAATCTGACTGAAGAGTCACAAGTCTGTACAATTTTGGCATTTGTGCAACTTGAAAAAAATAAAAATAAATCATAGATTATGATGATTAGGTGGCTGTGATCTTTTTGGGTGGTGCCTCTAATGCAGGGGTGTCAAACTCAAGGCCCGGGACTTCATTTGATGTGGCCCCACAAGAGCTTGCAAAGAATATATTATGTTTATTATACGGTTACATACCGATTTACA